AGGAGCGGAGGTCTCGCCTCTGAACTTGGCCACGGCAGCCCGGTACTGGGCAATGGTTGCAGCAAGAACCCCCTTTACTGAGTCCAAACGCCTCGTCGCCAAAGACAGTTGTTGCTCCACCGCAGACGCGGATTCCTTCTTAGAGGTCAGCTCTCGCCGAAGACCCTCGGCCAAGTCGTTCGCCTTGCGGGCCTGCTCGGCGGACAAAGCTCCAACGTCTCGGGCCTTCACGAGATCGGCCCTCAAGGCCTCTTTTTCTTGTTCCTTCTCCGCCAGGGAAAGGCGGAGAGCTGCAAGGGAGTTGGCCAAGCCCCCTTTTTCACCTTCCAGACATTCGTTCTCCGCCTTTGCGCTTCAATCGTGACATCTCGATCTAAGACCTCATGAGTGCGCGCTCTTCCATAACAACGCTTGATGTGATACCCTGCGTTCGAAAAAAAAGAAGACCAGGGCCATTAGTGATACAAAATATAAACAAGTATAAAGAACAACAAACACACCAAAAGTCAAGCGGCCGAGGGCGCACCAAGCTCTTGTGTTCTAGATGAACGCGAAGAATTTGGAAGAAATCCATGTCCCTCGTCATTTGTTTGAAGCGATCATTCAAAAGAACACAAAAGGCGTAAAGTGAGAAAAGAAATCTCACAATAAATGCAAAAACTGCGGAGACCACCTCCGACGTCTTCAAGAACTCCAAGATAGCACTCTTCCCAACCCGAGATAGAAGTGTCGGAGGAGCTGCGTAAAGAAAAATAGCAACAATAATATTTCGGTCGAGGGCCGATTAGAAGTAGGTAATAGCAGTGAGACCGAACGATGAGTAAGCTAGAAACAAACTATGCTCACTTGCACGCGGCGCCAGCGGCCCCTGCTGCCAAGGACCAAACCTGGCGCTGGCGGTGGCCGCTTGCTCCTCCGGAGTGAGGAGTCCGGCCATGACACCACCTGCAAAACAACAAATACGCAGCATTAGCACTTGGCAGAATACAAAAAGCATTTAACTCGGCAAAAGCAAAGACGAACACAAACGCGCGCCAAACAAACTCACTCATAAAAGGCCCGGGGCAGGCCGCTTGATGAGCGCCTTGGACAGAAGCCTCCGCCCCGTCATGCGGTGAAGGCCCAGAAGGCCGGCTGCTCCCAGCCAACGGCCTGGCAGGCGGAGGGCTCGGAGAGGCTCGGACCGCCGAGGCATGCTCCGCAAGCAGGGCCTCCGGTTGCCCGACGCTGGCCCCTGGCCCGGGGGGAGACGAAGTAACGGGCGGAGGCGAAGAAGCGCGCGGTGGGACAGCCTCCGTGCCCTCTTTAGAACTTGAGCACAGCCCGCCGAGAATATCGGGCATAGGGTTGGCGGCGTTGGCTTCCGGCTGTTCGGCGCCGCTCGCAGCACCCTGCGGGGAGCATGCTGGTGCAACGTCGATTTCCGGCAGCCCTGCACCCCCTGCGGTGCCGTGCAACGAGCTCGGCAGGACGGCTACAGCCCCGCTACCTCCGCCGCTCGCCACCCGCTTGTCCCTTGGGGCCGAAGAACTTTGGGCATCTTCACTGCCGGTCGAAGAAGCACCCGCGTTGTCGGCCGAAGACGCGGCCGGCGCGATCACCAGAGCACTGGATTTCTTCTTTTTCGTAGGCGCCTGGGCAACAGCGGCGCCCTTCCTCTTCTTGGACTCGGCCTCCGCCGCAACATTAGCATTCTTCGCGGAGGTCTTCTTCTTCTTCTTCTTGTCAATTGAGGCAATAACCTCCGCGAGAACCTCACGCTCCCGGTAGACGATCCCGAGCTCCTCAAAAACTCGATTGAGCCGCGGCATGATGCCGGACACGGCTCTCCGAGACATGTACTCACGCTCGGAAATTTTGCCGACCAACCCGATAGCAGCTTCCTCAACCTCGGAGACGAAACTGCCCTCCGTTACGCCCTCGCCCAAAGACTGGCCGAAGCGGGGGAACGGAATCCCAGCCTCCGGCCCAAAAACAGGAATCTTCACCATTTCAAGCCTAAAGGGTGGATTGTCTCCTTTAAGGGACCAATAGTCGGAGGCCATGATCTCCTCCACCAGATCGCGGCCCCCGAAGTAGCGGCACGCCAACGCGAAGGCCCGGTCACAGGCCTCCCTCGTCGAAGATACCGCCTCCGGCGGCTCCACGCGCGTATGCGGCGCCATAGCCTCCATCCTTGAAGTCAGTGGGTACTCCATGACCTCCACGCCATCGTCGGTGGTGCCACGAACCCTGTAGGTCTTCACGTAAAACCACCCCTCGAGCCAGCCGCAGTCCCATTTGCCCTTCTGGCAAAAAGAAATCTCCAGGCAATCTACGTCTTGGTTCCTCTTCGCCATGAAGGTACAACTACCATACTGGCAGACCACCTCCACCTCCTTGCCGTCCCGCATCTCTTTCCTCTTCTTCGGTTGTTTCTGCAGCTCGTAGTAGGTGCAGAAGGTGTCCACATCCGGCTCGGCGCCATAAGAAGCACACGCCCAACAGAATTTGCTGAGCGTAAGGAAGGCCATAGGGGTCAGATGGTGGAGCTGGACGTTGAAGGTCTCCAACACCCGACGGAGGAAGGGACCGTAAGGAAGGTGGAGGCCGTAGACGAAGAAGTCTCGAAACACCACCGCATATCCCTCCTCCGGCTTCGGAACAGTCTGGCCAGACGGAGGGATCCTTACCCTAGAAGGTGGAAAATACGACTCCTTCGACATCTCCGTGACCGCCTCTTCAGTAATGGAGGAGGGGCCGAAGTCCCATGACTTTATCGCCATGTCTCCAGAATCCGCAGCGATCAGGTCTCCGATGGACGTGGAGACACTCCCCAAATCTTCCTCCAGCAGATTCTCAAAATCCAACGCGGACGCGGAGGCAAGCATGCACTCCTCGAAATGTGCACCCCAGCCGCCTGCCCTAACACCAAGAAGGTGGCGATAGGGACCGAAGAAGGTGGGCCGGCGAGTATGGGCGAAGGTGGAAGAGAGAGCCACCGCGACTGCAACCACGGAGGAATGCGCAAGCGGAAAGAATGAACGCGCGGACGTGACTCAGGCGTGAGCAAAGAAAGCAGAGAGCGGTGTCTGGCGCTGCAAGGCAAGCAAACGAGTCGTGTGGGGGGGGACCCCGCCACCAACCTCACCCTTATATAGGCCGCGGGCGGGTGGCTCAGCTCCCGCCGAACAACGGTCATCTCTAGTCAGCCCGACTGGCGGCAACGGTCTTCTCCGGATAGTTCGCCTGAAGCCCAATGGTCATCTCTGGATAAAATGCAAGGTGCGCAACGGCTAGGTTTAAACGGCCACTTCGACAAGACCAACGGCCGTGCCAGAACGGGTCAGGGGGGAACCGACGGGGATCGGTCGAAGACATGACTGCGCGTAGTCACCGCCCCCAACCGGCGGGGATCGGTCGAAGACGTGACTGCGCGTAGTCTCCGTCCCCATGGACGTCCTTGTTTGGGGCATTTTTTGAGCTCACGACACGCTCAGGAGGACCGTGGTCTCAAAAGGGGGAACTGTTGTAACATGGCCACCACGGGTGGCGGAGACCCGCGCAGTCCGTAGGATACGAGGGCACCTCCGGCCAGGAGGGCGAATGCCGCCTCACCTCCAAACTAATTAAACAACGATCTTGCCTAATTGTGTGCAGGTACTCAAGCGCGGGCGCCCGGGGACCGCGCGAGCGCGCCAGCCTGGCCCCCGCGCGGCCGGGCGGAGGCCTGCGGATGATGCCTCCGACCGGACCGGCGGAGACCCGCCAGGGCGACGGTGCGCCCCTGAAGGCGGAGGCCAGCGTCGACAGCCATGGCCCCCGCGTGGCCGGGCGGAGACCCGCGGGAGATGTCTCCGACCGGCCGGCGGAGAACCGCCGAGATAGCGTGGCGCCCCTGGAGATGGAGGCCAGCACCGGGGACCCAGGCCTTTGGGCCGAAGACCGAAGCATGGTGGGCCGACTGCTCATGGAGGCCCATTACTCGGAGACGGTATGGCAGGATTGCCCCGCAAACGAGAGGCTAGCGGCGGAATATTCTAGGAATGTACTGTAGCAGTTGAGGGGCATTGTAATAAATTCTGTCATGAAGTAGTTGAGCCCTATAAATAGGGAACACTTTGTAACCGTGCAGGGGGTGGTTGGAAAATGCATTAATGAAACCCTAGCTTTCCGTGCCCTTTCCCTTACACGCCCAGCGATCGTTCCTGTTAACCGAGCCTCCGCCTGAGGATAGCTGTCCACGGGCGGAGGCCCCCAGTTACCTGTCTGAAACCGCAAGTTTCAACACCATCAGCACGAGGGGTGTGATATTCCCACTAAAATTTAACTTATGCTGATTTGTTGTGAGAGGAGAACATTGTTTGTTCGCTGAAAAGTAATGCTATAGTAGTGCTGCAGAACAGGGCCAATAATCACTTTTGCCTTTACTGGCATGAGACATTGCAGTATGTATGGTACATAAGTCTGAGTGTCATGTATTGTTGTGATTCTTTCATCCGGCGATGCCTCACAGGTCAAGGTGGGCAGGAATCACAATGTACACTGTCGATCAGTAAATTTGTAAATATATGACTACTATGGTCTGATAGCCAAACACAGGACATGAACTTGGTGAGGAAAAAGTATATGGATCCATAAACGTATAACTGAAAATACAGGTTCCAATTTTGAACCTTCTCTGTCTCCCAATTCATTTACTAGTAAAGGAGATTACAATCAAGGAAATCAAAGAGTGACACCTTACTTTCATATATATGTGAATATTACAAATCGGCCTTGAAGTGAGAACATACCTCAGGTACATACATGTTTAAGATAATTTAAAGGGAAGTACCTTGCCATTACAGTGATTTCTGCAGGCTCTGGCACAATACATATGTATATGATGAACTACTTTTTTTAAGATGAAGGAACTTATGCTGAATATGTATAACTATACTAGTTGGTCATATATATACCATGAAACTAGAAACATATAGCAAATCAGAAGAGATTAACTGCAGTTGTATTCTTGGTTTTCATCTGCCGCCTGGATGCATGAGCTGCGAGAAGACAATGCTTGGGGTCAGCCCATCTGAATCCACACTTGCGAGGCTCCGTCCTGCCATGCTCATAGTCAATGATGTGGTGGTTGTTGTGTCCGTCGATGGTTCATCCGAGTGAAGCCTGGGGATGATAAGTGGCGATGTGTTTGAAGATGTCCCGTCGGTGACGCTGCTACTGTCCTCCTTGCTCTCCTGCAGCTGGAGTGCAAATTCAAGGTTCCAGAGGACATCGGCCATAGATGGTCTGTCGATGCTGTGATCAGCCACGCACTTCTCTGCGGTCTCCGCGAACTTCATGAAACATTGGGGAGAAATTTTCCCTTGCAGATGTGGGTCGATGATCTGGCCAAGAATGCCTTTCTTCTGGCAGTGCAGCGCCCAGTCGGCGAGGCTCACTTGCTCCTTAGGAAGTGAGGGGCTCAGGGCAGGGCGTGCACAGAGGACCTCAAACAGCACGACTCCAAATGAGTAGACATCAGATTTCTCAGTGAGCTGCTGCCGTCGGAAGTACTCGGGGTCGAGGTATCCAAAGCTTCCCTTCACAACCGTGCTCACATGAGTGTTATCGACATTCGGACCAGTCTTCGACAGCCCAAAGTCTGAAACCTTAGCAACCAATTTGTCATCCAACAAAATGTTGGTGGTCTTGACATCTCTGTGTATGATGGTATGCTTTGCACCTGTGTGCAGGTAATGCAGTCCCCGAGCCGCACCGATGCATATCTCAAGCCGCTTCTTCCAGGACAGTGCTGGCTTCTTGGTGTTGTATAAGTGCTCCCTAAGAGTCCCATTGGCCATGTAGTCATACACTAGAATCATCTCATTCATATCGTCACAGTATCCAATCAGCGACACAAGGTGACGGTGACGGAGCTTCGACAACATCTCAATCTCAGTCTGGAACTCGTGGACACCCTGCTCAGACGTTGGGTTACCACGCTTGATTGCCACCATTGTGCCATTATCTATCTCTCCAAGGTACACATTTCCAAAACCACCTTTACCGAGGAGCGAGGTTTGATCAAAATTATTGGTGGCTGCCTGGATTTCACCAAATGAGAAGTGGTGGCAAAGATTAGATGGCAATGTTGACGTACGGCTCCCTGTAGTTGTTGTCTTCCCTGAGGTGTTTGACCGTGACTTGCTGTAATCAGTGAGAGGAGTCCACTGGCCATCATCGGGTTTCCCAGATTCCTTTGCTACCTTCTTTCTTCTGCAGATGATGCACACACCAATAAAGGCAATGAGTAGCACAGCAAAACCACCAACAGCTCCACCAATGATTGCCGGCACATAACCTTTGTTTCTCCCACAAGGTTTCCCATTATTAGGTTCAAAAGATGGAAGGGGAGGGTTGAGCCCATTTAGACTATTGTTTCCATAATTCTGCAGCTTGAAGACCTCCAGACCGTTCAATATCGCATCGAAGTACTCCGGTCTCGTTGTAAGATCTGGGTGGAGGGCAACCCATAAATCCATCTGACCAGAACCAGTTGTGATGGTAACATAGTCTGTGTACACTGTTTTGCCAATTCCTCCGCTAAACGCGATGACATCCATTTCCTGTTGTGCTGTCTGATTGTTGATGTAGATGAAGAATGACCTCTGATTGACCTTTGTTATCGGATACTGGATCTCACAGAAATGGAACCTTAGGAGGTAGTAGAACCCAGCATCAACGGGTAAAATCCATGTAAGATTGTGGTTCAGGTTAACCTGGGCATTTGGCCCCATAGAGCGAGCAGTTGCATAGACATTAACTGGTGCAGCGTACTTTGGTACATTGGCTGTATACGTGATTGTAAGATTGTTGTCTTTCCCAAAAGCCACACCATAATCAGAAGCATATATGTAAGCACTGTCGTCTTGCCATGAACGGTAGAAGTCAACATCTCCTTGTGGTGGGATGGCCTGGCCTCCAACATTAAGCCGGTACATTGTTTGGAACCCCGTTCCAGCAAGAAGATCTGGGTTTACCCCATTGGCTAGTGTTGGTATTGGTGTTGTGAAGAGGTCAGGTGTGGGCACGATTTCGATCCCGTTGATGAATGCGTAAGAGCCATTGTGATGTGTGGATGGGGAGAAAGTGAGGTTTAGACTGCCTTCAGTAACGTTTATGTAGTATTCACGAACAAAGAAGGCAACACTAGGAGTAACTGCCGCAGCAGTTTGGGAGGCATTGAAGTCATATAAAAGGGTCAGATTGCCGGCTGTGACACCAAAGTAAGCATCTGCAGCACCATGATTGCCATCGTAATTGGTAGGATAGAAGTAGAGGCGCACGAACATGCAGCCAGGACTAACAGGAAAGGAATAGGTGTAGTTTGAGGTGAAGATGCGAGCAGTCATGTAAGGCGTAGGGGGGGATGGTAGTGAAGGGTCCTGAGATGAGGCAGTTGCTGCAATTCCTTTCAGTGAAGGCGCAAACTTGGAATTGGTGTCGCTGTCCCAGCTCCGGCCATCAGCATCTGGGCCTGTTGGGCTTGGTGCTCCACAATCCAAGCGTATCTGGCCAGAGCCGATGGTATTGTTGTCAGCCGCCACAGCAAGTGCCAAGATGCATAGCAGTGTGAGGCATCTGAGGATAGCTGACAAGGTTGGGTGTGCCATTTAATTGTTGGTGTCTCACAAGGCTCTCTTTACAGCAGTTTAGCTATAAGATAAGATGGCTGGCTCTAGGAACATCTCCAGCTTAGCAGAACATTGGGCCTTTCTCTTTGGGGTTTTGGGCAAGAAAGAATCTGGCAAATTGCAGGGTGGTCGGACTGCAGTCTTGCAGTCTTCGTTTACTGAAAAAGGTATTTACCAGATCCTGCCATAAGAATAGAAAAGAAATCCAACTTCAGTAGTTCCTTTGAGAGAAAAGGATTAGTGAATATCGATAAGATGGACAGCGATAAACTGACTCAAGGTGGATAAGTAAAGTCTGACATCTGAAAAAGAAATAGTATAACACAAACAAAGAGAAATATAACATGGACCGAAATGACTAGGAGAAAGATACTAACAATCCTTCTAAGATAATTATCAGGACAGACAGTAGCATTGATTTCCTCGCAATAGTAAAATAGTAAACTAGCAGCAAGCTCCTGGACGCCACACAAAACAAGTTATTAGGAGGACGTTATAAATTTGCAGAAGAAGGAAAAAGAAACAAATCAGAGTAAGGAGAGAAAAGAGGAGCAACTAACATTACAGATCGATCACTTCATCTAAGGGAAAGAAAGGGCTAAATTAATCCGTTAAGGAATACAAAGTGCATAGGCCTAGCGCTATCGGCCGCGGATTAGAATTTGGTTTGCCTAAAGTAAGAACAAGTACCTTTCTAAGCAGAGATTCTATGAACAATAATAATCTAAATTCTGAACTGAACAACCGGGCACCGCAAGAACCATATATAGAGACAAATAACCCAAATTTGGGGATTCCGAGGCCAAATTTGGCCGCAAAAAGGTAACTTTCAGGAAACCTTGAAAAGTTGAAATCCAAGAACAGCGCCACAGAGCCCGGCCAAACAGAGCAGGAAACAGGGAGGAACAGAATGAAATAGAACCAGTTACCTAGCCAAGATGCAGGAAGGAGGGACGCTTCTTGCAAGCTTGAGAGGGAGGCGAGGGCGGCCGAACCAGCGGGGTGAGCCAGCGGCAGCGGCCGCCGCGTATTGGGTGCCAACTGGCAAAATGGGGGAGGCGATGAAGAAGTGAGCGATTGTTTCGCTCGCAGTCGCAGTGCTAGATAGATATAATGGGGTTTGGCGGTCGGCAACGTATCAGGTGCAGATAAACCTGTAAACTTTGAAAAATAACGACCACGACCACTAGACGCTAATTCGAGTGAGAGGTGAGATTTTTTTTTGTGTTTAAGCTTTTCATCTGTCGGCCTTTTTTCGCTTAAGCCTCCTTATCTTAATCTGATCGGTAGATTCTAAGTTTATACAGATTGATTGGTACCCATGATATGTTGCGGAGGTTTTGGCACTTTGGCTGACTAGCTTTGTGCCTTTGTGCGGGTGGGGTGGGAATTGATTGATAGTGGGAAAATGTTAACGGCAGAAAAATGAAAAGAGTGGAGGCCCGCAGGTCGGGACAACGGGCAACGACGACCAACGAGCCCGCCAGTTTCCGCTCGGCTTGTGATGGTGCAGTGGTGGAAAAAAAAACGGGTCCTACCTGGCATCTGGCTTCACAGGGCATAGCGGCCTAGAGGGTGGGCAAAGTGGACGTCGCTTTATGGTCCCACCGAGTAATAATAAGAACTTTAGAAGGGGAAAAAAGTAAAAATAAAAAAGGTCACCCAAACAGTCAAACCTGTGCAGATTTTTTTATCAAAACTGGAGGGGTTTGCAGCCCTACGGCACATCTACGGCACATTTCTTGTTAAACCTGTGCAGATTGATCGCTTCTTACAAAAACCATGCTATGCCAATACATCGTTATTCATACGGGGTGTTTCTTGTTTGCTGTCGCTGCAGACTAGAAGAAATACCAAAGTTCAGAGCAAAACTGAGAAATAGGTTGTTACTGTCTGACATAGGTGCTTCAGCATCGACCCGCTATTGACCACTATGAGTAGAACCTAGTGACAAGCCGGCAGAGCATAATCGTTTTCACAGCAAAAACCATGTTAGATAGAAGCCGATCGTAGAAGTAGTACCTCCACCTGGCCAATTGACGGCCACCGTGGCGAATTAGGCAACCAACATACTCTGTAATTCCATTTCTCTGATGCCAAAACAATAAGCAACAAAGAACTTCAGCACACAAGACCATGAACTGAAATCTGAATAAGGATTATTTTTTCTCACGTCACATAGCCTCCCAGATTAGTACATTAACCTACCATAGCAACTAAATGCAGTATCTTGAAACACAGAGAGAGAGAGACGGCCTACGGCCACACGACGTCACTTGGAAGGACCCCACACGACGGGACTTTATGGTAGGAGTCCATCGATCCAATGCCGCTGGGTCTCATATCACTGCCGTCTCCGATCAACGAAGCCGTACATGCGCTCAGGCGAGGCTACGAGGACACGACGTCACCACTAATTAAGGTTGGATAACGAGCTGGCTCAGCTCGGCTCGTTCTGGCTCGTTAAGATAACGAGCTAGCTCGGCTCGGCTCGTTATCCTAACGAGCCAGAAAGCCAGCTCGGCTCGGCTTGTTAAAAGCTCGAGCTGGCTTGTTAAGCTCGCGAGCCAAGTATAAAAAATACACAAAATATAATATTTGCATTTATCTAAAGTTTGAGAATAATAATAATATAAAAGAAATGCATCTAGACCAGTTACCAGTCAATTTATAGGGTCTAGACCAGTTACCAGTCAATTGTAAAGTGCAAGACATGAAGTAATACAAAAACTAATATAAGTTTTGATATTTTTTTTTCCTGGAAGCTTGGCTCGTTTAGCTCGCGAGCTGGCTCGAGTTCGCTCATTATAGCTAACGAGCTAAAATCTTGGCTCGGCTCAGCTCGTTATCATAACGAGCCGAGCCAAGCCGAGTCGAGCCAGCCACGAGCCGAGCAAGCTAACGAGCTTCGAGTTTTTCGTCCAGCCTTACCACTAATCATGATTAAGATGGTCACATTGAGGATCCGCCCCTACTTCGCTGCTGCTGGTCGGCTGCTGTGCGTGCGTGACTAACATGCTAGGCATAGATCTCGACTGCTAGCTACCGAGGTATTCCATCTCTGGTTTTGTCTCTTCTCTTTTATTTTATGTAAAAACATAACACCTATTGATATTGCTAGGCAACGGCAATTGTTGATAGGGTATTTTCTACAATGATTTAGTGAAAGCAAAATTAAGAATTTGTTAAGAGGCATTTTTAAGTGAATACAAATAATGTAATCGAAACATTCACATCCCTTATAAAACAGTTTAAAAAGTCAGATAAGTAGTATGATAAGTCTCTTACATACTCTTTTTTATGTTTATATTTGGGACTGTTAATATGACGTTTGAACTATTTATATTAAAATTTATGTCTTTCAGTTTCATACTTATCATGTAATTTAGTGTGTGATGAGGACATCGCCACGCTGGACACACCGACGCCATGGTCTTCCCCAAGTGGCAATTCGTTCCCAACTCAGCTGCCACGTCATCCTCGGATTCAGCAGAACACGTCGTCCTTTGTTTTCGGTCATAACTTCCTCATACGACGTCGAAACGGGCCGTTCTTGGATGCGTTGAAAGGGACGACGACGCCGTCGTTTTGGATCTGGTCCCAGCTCCAGAAGGTTCGTGGATCATTCTGTGTGACCACGACAAGGTGCTGCGTCACCTATTTGGGCCAACTTGGCCATGTATCGTGTCGGGCCTTAAGCCCAAGTTGTGGGCGCCCAACCCCTGGCCGTCCCCAACCCTAGGTCGAGTCTTAGACTATAAACACAGCCGCCACCGCTGCTACACAATTGGGTTTTGTTTAGAGTTTAGTTTTCCATCGAGAAACCGAATCGTTCATTATAGCTGTGGTGACAAATCCTTTTACAAAGTGATCCGGGGCTCCCGTTCTTGATCTCCTCCATTGTGTTGATTAGTCCTTTGGAACCGAGTTCTTGAACCTCTATTGATATTCGCGTCATTCATATTTGCAATTTTAGATTGCGTGTTTTACCTTCTTGCTTGTGCTCTTGATTTCGCTTGCGGGAAAAGCCTTCTTGGCGAGGTCAATCAAGTTGTGCTTGGTTGATAACCAACGGAGCGGTGGTGTAACGGTTGCGAGGGTTGAATTGTGTCTCGATTTGAAGCCGGATCGCCAACGTCGAGATCTCCATAATCGAACTTACCGGCTACCTCTCGGAAGATCGGGCCTGTACTCATCAATTGGTATCGGATATTTCAGATTTACTCATGAGGTATAATCTCGTTGCCTTAGATTCATATTTGTTCATTACCTAGAGTCCACAAAAAGCCCAAAAATATTTCAATTTCCGCTGTCCTATCGCCCTTTGTGCCTTTGCAATTTCGTTTTTGATTCGTGTTGTTGAGTTTGTGTCCGTGGTCGAGTCTTGTTCTTTGGTTTAGGATTGTGTTCGTGGTCGTAGTTCAATCGCCTGAATTCTTTGTGATTTTGTTTTCCGCCGCTATCCCATCCACCGTTCCCAAACAACAAGTCGAAGCCACCACATTACTCGACTTGCCCCGCTTAGCCGCCTTGTGTAACTTCGCCTTGCCAAGCAAAACCCTAGATAGGTTGCCACCGCTATTATTTTGCTCGCATCGCAGCCCTCCTTACATCATCGACGAATACCTAATGTCTTTGTTAGTCACGGTGGCGATCCTGTGATCGGTGATAGAGTTTAGGGACGCTTTGCCCTAACCATCGCGCCGCCGTGTTGTGCCTCCCGAAAAACATACTTTGAGATACCTTTGTAAAAGCAGGCATAACTTTTCGCTCGCTTATCGAAAAATCTGAAATTTTTTCAGCAGACTTCTTGACACCATTTGGGGCCGACCCAAACTCGGCTTCGCCCTGTTTGGTTTCATCAAAATTGCCAAAAAATCAGGAAAATATATAAAAAAAATTGTCAAAGTTTTTGCACGCTTTTCAGAAGAACGTGTTGAATTTCTGTAGACCACATTCCACCTCAGTTGTAGGTGCCA